TCTCACTAGTGTAAAACCTGAAAGAGTTAATTTAAACTCGGAGGTTTGATAGATATTGTGAAATGATAGGAAAATGCCCAAGTGTAAAGGGCAACTGGGATGTGGGAAAAGAGAAGGGAAAGAAAGAGGAATTTTGTATGTATGTATATATAGGATAGTTAACATAGTTGTTCTACTGTCATCTTTTTCTTTGCTGAAAGAAACTGTTAATGAGTCCTTGACTGATGAATATTGATGTCTCTATCTGTTTTCATGAGAAGCCACTTTGAAGATATCAATATGTCCAACAAGCATTGTTAATTTCCTACCACTTTGTTTGTAACTGTATTATCTGTACTGTTCCTTTGCTCTTTTGTAAAAGGTTGTCCGTCTGTTAATGTTTTCCTCCTTTTTTTAAATAAAAAAAAATAATAAACTGAAAGGAGGATGGGAAGGGGTCTATTAACAATGGTGAAGATGCAGAAGACAGAGTGAGCCGTCTGAGGAGCACAGCTTTAGAGAAGTGGAAAGGAGATGAGATTGAGCATCTTGGAGGTGAGACGTCCTTAGAAAGGACAACAAATTCTTCAGTCACAGCACTGGTGCTAAACAGAGACTCGCTGTGTGAGCTTGAGGCCTCATGCTTGACACACTGAACTTGGGAAATAATAATGGGAGTTAATTAGCAAAGGTAGGATTCTAAGAGTCTTTGGCTTCTCATAAGTAGCTATTTACTGCTGAGTTAAATTGCTAGAACTGTAGTGCACATGTGGTTGTGTTCAGGAATATGTCATTTTGATGTGTGTGCTCAGTAAATTCAGAAAATCCAGTCTTTCCCATCAGCAACCTGATGGACTCTTCTCTCCTGGCTTCCAGTATAACAGGGGAGGCCCCATTATCGCTGTACAGATTGAGAATGAATACGGTTCCTATCATCTGGATAGAAAATACCTGTCATTTATAAAAATGGTAAGTGTGCCTTTAACTTCTCTAAGTACTGACATATTCCTTTTTTCAGCTTGTTTGTGTAGCAGCCATTCTGGCTATCTGTAGTTTGCATGGAGCTATGAAGTATAAAGATGTATAGAGGCTGGTTTCATTTTTTCACTCATTTACATTCAAGAGAGAGAACTGTAAACTACTCTCACAACTCAATATGAGAATGATGTTAAGGTAACTTTCTTTTTTCTGGATATCTATCTCTCTTTGATGTTTGCATAATACATGATTCTCTCTCCTGATTTCAACTTTTCTTATCCATCTATTTAAGGTACATATCTTAAGCAGTATATAATTAGAATTCTTTTTGTTACTTTATTATGAGAACTCATCTTATAAATAAGGTACACATTTAATATATTTACTGACATAGTTAGATTTAAATCTACTGTTTTATTCTTTTCTTTGTGTTTGTCCTACCTGTTCTGTCATCCTTTTTCTCTTCCTTCTTGTGTTCTTGTAACTGAGAACATTTTATTATTCTGTTTTATCCTTTACTAGCTTGCCACATATTTTCCCTACTCTATTAGTGTTTGGCATGTAAATAAAAATTTTCATCCTTGAATTATTAACATCTGAATCAACGTATTTGCCAATTGCAGGAGAAAGCAAGCACCTTAAAACAATTTGACTGTATTTCTTTTCACCTTAGGTACTATTGTTATTATTTGTTTTAGTTCTATTTATCTATGCATGTGTCCCTCAAGACATTATTATTATTTTTGTTACAAAGGTAATTGTCATTCAGGTTACTAAGATAATTTAGTTTTTGTTGCTCCCCTCCATCTGTGAGCTTTCATCTCTTTTATCTGCCTTTAATGTTTTCTTTGCTGTAGGAATTTTAGTAATAAACGCTGGTGTTTGTCTAAAAATATGCTTAAGATGCTCTTTTTGAAGAGTGTTTGGTTGGCAGTTATTTACTTTGTGTATTTTTTTGGCATCCATTGTTTTTACTAAGAGGTTAGGCATCAATAAAATTATTGTTCCTTTGAAGATAAAATTTCTTTTTTCTTCTGGATGGTTTTAATACTTATTTTTCTTTTTTTTTTTTTTTTCCAAAAATTTTACTAAGATTACATGGGTTCTTTCTGCTTATGCACTGAATTTTTTGCACTCTTCAGTTTGTGTCTTGAAGTATGGAATCAGTTTTACAAAATTCTCAGCCAGTGGTTGTGGCACATACCTATAATCTCAGCACTCTGGGAGGCTGAGGCAGGATGACAAGTTCAAACCCATCCTGGGCGATTTAGTGGCTTAGTGAGATCTTGTGTCAAAAAGAGGGTGGTGTTAATAGCTCAGAGAGAACGTCTTTGGTTCAGTCCCTAGTATTAAAAAGAAACAAAGGTAGATAGATTGATTCTTCACATTTATATGCCTTATTTTCTGTCTCTTCTCCTCAGGTCATTTCAATTACACAAATGTTAGGTGTTTACATCATATTTCATGTGTCTATTTTACTCTTTTGATAATTTCTTCTAACCTACCCTTAATTCATTGACTTTTTTTCCTTTAGCTTTGTCTCATGATGTTGAACTCTAAGTTCCTAGTTTCAGCTATTTTTAACTTTTTGTTCTAAAATTATTTGATTCTTTTTTATTGTTTCTATTTCTTCACTGACATTCTCCAATTTTTCTTTAATTTCTTGAACATATTAATTAAATATCTATTTCAGAATCTATGTCTAATAAACCTAATATATGATTCCCCAGGGATCTGTTTCTGTGTGATACTTCTTTTTGTTTCTGTGAATTGTTAACTGATGGTCAGCCTAATAATATTTTTCAGAGTTAGACATTTATTTATGAGAACACTGAGGTCATTTGAGGCCTTTGGTTACTTCCCAGACAGTTTCTCTTGCTCCACATATGATTTCTGAGTGATTTGGAGCTGAGCTTCTATCCTTGTGAGAACTGGTCTAAAGCTTATTCACCTTTGTTTCAGGGGTTCATCTTTTAGGTCCTAGTAGAAAGTCTGGGGTATGTCATAATCCCTCACCAGGGTAATACCCAAACTATAGTTTCTTTTTAAAATTTCTTTTATTTTATGAAAAAAAGCTAGAACAGAATTTCATAACAAGATGATAGGAGAATAATAATAGTTAATACATTGCATATTACTATCTTTAAAGTAGCTACTGAGAGTACAAGATACGGGCACAAAAGTTCTCCAGCTGATATAAGCATGAATCTTCCTTTCCTATGACTTAAGAGACACTAATAATATTATTAACTTGCATTTTTTCTCTCTTTCCTCTTCTTTCCTTTCCCTTTTCCCCATCCTAGTTGCTTTTTCCGTTTTAACAATTTCTTCCCATTTCACAATATCTGTTGTACATTTTAGACCTTTCAGTTTCTCATACCAGAGAGGCAATATGATGCCAAAATATAGTTTTTTCCCTCGTGTCTTGTAAAACAGCTGGCCGCCCTGATCAGCTTTTCAGACTCTTAGCTGATACTTTAAGAATCAGCCTGAATTGCCTCACAGGAAAATTAGTGCCGAATGCCAGCTTCCCTTCCTTTCTGCGATTGCAACTCCTCAAGGTCTACCCTTACATTCCCTGTATTTCCCAATAAGTCTTCAGGAAATGTTGAGTCCATTTTGACTAGCTGTAATTAAAAGAAAGGTTCACTGCATATAAAAGAAGTCCTTCGTTCTTAGAAATAGACTCTGTTTCTCTCCACGTAAGTTGTGAACTGTGAATCTTGATTTGTCCAGCTCAGCCCCCAGGAGGAAACACTACCATCTTCTTTCATTCTCAAGTGTTTTAGTTTGAATATGTCATATGGCTACTTGATAACAAACTGTGTTGGTACTGGATCAGAGATGAAACGCTTCCTTCTCACAAGACCTTTGTGCATTTGGGTGGAGTGAAACTAATTGATAGATGACATTTAGTTTCTCATTTGAGTTACTTGTTGGACTCCTCTATTTTTCAAATGAGTCCAGTAGAAATAAGCCACCTCCTGATACCCAACAAAGGGTCTAAGGGTTAATGCAAGTATATTTTCACTTTCAGAATATTTTGGTCCAAAAATACCATCCAGGTATACCTTTAGCTTTTCTTAGTAGGCACAGCTGCAGTCTCAGTATTTTATCCCTGGTTTAGACAAGTTCCTTAGCCTCTTCTCTCTGTCTTTGATTTAGAATTCCCTAGAGTTGTTTCTAGTTAGTATAGGAACATTAAGGGCTCATACAGTAAAAAGTATGATGTGGATGGACTAAACTACAACTTACCTGCTTTTAGCATTGGCTGAAAGAACTAGCAATGATGTGTGGGTTTCTAAATACATGCTGTGAAGGTAGCCCATGGGATATACTTATTTGGAGTGACAGTGTAGATGAGAGTGTTTGTCTTAAACTCTCTGGAGAAAATCCAGAATTCAGGTCCTTAGGGAAAAGTACTATATTAGATAAATATCCACAATCTCATTGCCTCTTTTGTAAGGTTGTAAATATCACTTGTTACTTTGGCATTGCTGAGTAACTGAGGCAGAGATGATATTTTTATCTTAACTTACTACTTATAAGTAGTTGGGTAAAGAATATGCTAGTATTCTCTAGTATTTTTAATGGCATATTTTTTTTTTCAGGAAGAGGCAATCCTGTGGGACCAGAAACAGTCCATTTAACTTTCTGAATTTCTCCCTAGGCACTGGAGAGAAGAAAGATCAAGGAACTGCTCATAACTGCAGATAAAGGACTAGCATTGAGAGAAGGCCACTTGAAAAATGGTAGTTTTTGTTTTGTCTCTTTCCTTCATGTATCCAGTCAGAAAGTGTAATGGGTACTGCTGGTTTGTCTTGCTGTGCTCTGTAAGGAGGCCTATGGCCTTTATGTAACAGTGGGAACTTGTGGCCACAGACAAGTTAAGAAGCTGAACCCGCCTTGCTGCCCCACCAGCTGTGATGCCCAGAGGAGTAATTGTGCAGAAAGTTTACTTCACTCTCCTCGACCCCTTGGTGCCCCAGAGGAGGGTCTGGCTGGAGAAGAGTAAAAGTTTTCTCCAATGCTGCCAAATGAGAGACAAGGAGTGGTTGAGGGTCAGAGAAACAGTACTACCATCAAACCAGACCCAGGGCTTCGGGGTAACCAACCCAGGGAATAAAAGCAGTGGGGTCGGGTCTTGGTGTAGCTCCGTGGTCAAGCACTTGCCTAGCATGCATAAAGCCCTGGGACAATTCCCAGCAATGTAAAATTATAAATTACTAGGTAAAAAGTAAAAGATCAGTGTGAATGGATAATGGAACAAGATTAAAAGGAGAAAACACAAATTGACTTGCAGGAAAATGGATAAAGATAACATGCAGACAAATGGAGATAGAGAACTAGGAATGTGGCTTGTTTGTAGAGCGCTTACCTAGTGTGAGAGACCCTGTGTTCCTTCACTAGTATTGGGAAAAGAAATAGAGAAATGTGCCTTCTGAAATTCTTTAATTCAAGAAGGTGTTTCTCCTCCATTGCCATCTCCTCTGGGCTTTTTGTTGGCTGTTGCCTGCCCTGTAGTGGGAGATGCAGGTCAGAGTTATGCATTAGTAGTTAGGGGCAGAGGGTGTAGCCCAGCAGTAATGTGTGTGCTTAGCTTGAGTGACCACTGAGTTATATGGAGACCCCACTGCTTTTATTCCCTGGGTTGGTTACCCCAGAAGCCCTGGTTTGATGGTAGTACTGTTTCTCTGACTCTCAACCTCTCCTTGTCTGTCATTGGCAACACTGGAGAAAACCTTTACTCTTGCCAAGCCACCCTCTTCCATGGCACCAAGGGGTCAAGGAGGATGGAATAAACCTTCTACACTATTATTGCTCTGGGCATCACAGCTGGTGGGGCAGCAAGGTGGGTCCAGCTTTCTATAGGGCTCAGGTCTATCAAAAAAAGCAGGGATGGGGGGCTTAGAGGCCTAGAGGTCCTGGGCTGAATTTCTTCACTTGGCCTTCATCTATTCATTAACATCATGTGGTTGTTTTCATTGTTCTTTTTATGTATTTGCATCATTCATTATTAATACTAAGAGAAGGGATATATTTGATAGTTCTTTGTATCCTGCATGTGTAGATGCAAGTATACAATTGATCATGCTCTCTTGTTTGTCAGTGGCTAGGGTTAAGGGCAGTGTCTGAGGTGTGTATGTGCAGGAAGTATTGAGCCCCGGCTCTGCACCCTTCTGACCCTGCCTTGTTGAGATCAGAGCAAGACTCAGGCCCAGCTTCTTTCTCTCCACAGTGCTGGCCACTGTTCACCTGAAGGATATACATAAGAAAACATATGAAGACCTCTTTGGAATACAGGTAGGGCATTTCAGAGATGGGGGCTGTGGGGACTTTTGTGCGTCCCTGGACCATGCTAAGAACTGATTCACAGGGGAAATTCTCAGTATTGATTAGTTCAGTGACAATCTTTTTTCCTTTATTTAAGTTTATTGGTACATTTTAGGTATACATAATGATCATAGTCATCATAGAGAATTTGCACCTGTACATGATATATCTTGATTTCTCTTTTTTCCCCCATTCCTGTCCCTTTCCCCATTCACAAAGCTCTTCCTTTCCCCGTTCACAAAGCTTTGTTTTCATTTTATCCTTCTTTTCTCATTTCTTTCTTTCCCTTTCTTCCTTCCCCCCTCCCTGGTTCCCTTTTCCTTTTCAACAGTTTCTTCCCATTGCACAATATCTGTTGTACATTTTGGTTCTTATTTACATTTTCAGTTTCTCACATCAGAAAGATAATGTGATATTTACATGTGTGTCTGATTTATTTCACTTGTGATTATGGTCTGAATGTGCATCCATTTAGCTATAAATGTCTCAATTTTGTCCTTCTTTATCACTGAGTAGTACTCCATTATATTAAAAAACACATCTTTTTTTATCCATTCATTGGTTGGTGGACATTTGGGTTGCTTCCAAGATTTAGCTACTGCAGACTATGCCACTATAAACATGAGTGTGCATATATTCTGTAGTATGATGCTTTTAATTCTTTTGGGAAGAAACTCAGAAGGGAAATAGCTGGGTCGAATGGAACCTCTAATCTGAATTTTTTGATGAATTACCACACTGATTTCCACAGTATTTGTACCAGTCTACACTCCCAGTAATAGTGAAGAAGAGTTCCTTTTTCCCCACAGTCCCACCAGCATTTGTTAGTAGTTGTTTTTTCATTTTAAGGAGAGTAGTATATGAGAAACAAACAAACAAACAACAAAAAAAAATAGAGCACTAGCAGCATACCAGTATCAAGAACATAAATAAATCAAAGCAAGAACTTTCCAAATGATATAGGGTCTCAAGACAAAATAATACAAGTCAACAGTGGTTGTTACATTGCATATTGCTATCCTCAACTACATTGCTCAGATTACCAGATGTAAGAATGAAAGATTGCTCAAACCATTATTTCAGAATAAGGAAATAATTCTTTGATAAAACATTAGAGATAATACAGAGTTTCACTAGACAAGATGGTAGGAGTTCACCATTGCAATTCCATTGCATATTGTTATCTTCAAATCAATTGCTCAGACCATCAGACACAAGCATGTAAAGTCGATCAGAACATAAAAAATTGTAAGCATTGACTGTTCATTTCAATACACCATCAGATATCAGCAATGCAGTCATTGCAGTTATTCATATGTATATTTATGTTTTGCCTTCCTTCTTTCTTTTTTCTTCTTTCCCTCACCCCAGTCATTCCTTACTTTGAGCAATTTCTTTACCTTTCCTATCTTCTATTGTACATTTTGAGTTTTACCTAGTCTTTCAGGTTCCTACACCAAGGAGACAATATGCTGTTTACACATGTGGATCTGATTTATTTCACTTATGAGTATGGTCTCTAGTTGCATCCTTTTACCTATAAGCCTCGAGTTTATCTTTTTTAATAGCTGAGTGATACTCCATTGTATAAAAATACCACAACATTTTTATCCATTCCTCAGTGGATTGGCATCTGGGTTGTTTCCAAGATTTAGCTGTAACAAATTGTGCTGCTATAAATATGGGTGCACATATATCGCTAGGGTATGATGTCTCTAATTCTTCTGGGAAAGTACCCTGAAGGAAATAGCTGGGTTAAATGGGACTTCCAATCCTAGTTTTGTGAGGAATCTCTAAGTTGATTTCCACAGTGGTTTCACCAATCTGCACTCCCACCAACAGTGGAGTAGGTTTTCTTTCTCCCCACAGCCTTGCCAGCATTTGTTATTGGTTGATTTCTTCATGATGGACATTCTTTCTGGGGTGAGATGGAATCTCAGTGTCATTTTAATTTGCATTTCTTGAATGACTAATGACATTGATAATTTATTCATGTATTTATCTGCCATTTGTATTTTTTCTTGAGAGAAGTCTGTATTCATCTCAGATGCCCATTTTTGGATTAGGTCTTTGAATATGGGAGGCCTGACTTTTAAAATTCTTTATATGTCCTAGATAGATGTCCTTTGTCTGAGGGGCAGATGGCTAAAATTTTTTCCCAATTCGTGGGTTTTCTTTTAATTTTATTGGTGATTTCTTTAGACGTGCAAAAACTTTTCAATAAGATGAGATCCCAGTTGTTGATTCTTTGAAGTATTTACCATGCGTTTCTGGTTTTGTTCATGAACTCTGTGCCTACCCCAGTGTCATCAAGATTTTTACCTACTTTCTCTTCCAATAAATTTAGTGTTTCTGTTTTAATATTTAGATCTTTGATCCATTTTGACTTTAATTTAGTGCATAGTGAAAGACATGGGTCTAGTTTTAGTCTTCGGCATGTGGAAAGCAGTTTTTCCAGCACCATTTATTAAAGAGCCTATCTTCCTTCGACTGAACATGTTTGGCCCCTTTGTCAAAGTTAAGGTGACTGAGTGTGTTTGTAGTTGTATCTGTATCTTCTAATGTGTTCCACTGATCTTCAGGTCTGTTTTTGTGCCAGTACCATGCAGATTTTATCATTACATTTATTTGTAATATAATTTTAAGTCAGGAATTGTGATACCTCCTCACACCCATAATCAATCAAACCCATAATCAATCAAACTCTAAAAGAAACTCTAAAACAAAGATCCTTTGTTTCCCAAGATTGCTTTTGCTATTCTAGGTCTCTTCTGGTTTCAGGTGAACTTTAGGAGTGTTTTCTCCAGATCTGTGAAGTATACTAATGGTATTTTAATTGGGATTGCATTGAATCTGTACAATTTTGGGAGTATGGCCATTTTCACAATGTTGGTTCTTCCTATCCATGAGCAAGGAATATCTTTCCATTTTCTGATATCCTCTACGATCTCTTTTTTCAGAGTACAATAATTTCCACTGTATAGATCTTTTACTTCTTTTGTTAGATTGATTCCTAAGTATTTCATCTTTTTAGATGCTATTGTGAAAGGTGTGGTTTCCCTAATTCCACTCTCAGTCTGTTTGTTACTTGTGTACAGAAATGCTATTCATTTTTCAGTGTTAACTTTGTATCCAGCTATGCTACTGAATTTGGTTGTTAAATCCATGAGCCTTTTGGTAGAGTTTTTGGGGTCTTCTATGTAGAGTATCATGTCATCTGCGAAGAATGATAATTTCACTTTTTCCTTTCCTATCCTTATTCCTTTTGTTAGTTCTTTTCTTTATGATAGCCGTTTTTTCTGGAGTGAGATAGAATCTCATCATTGTTTTAATTTGCATCTCTTGAATGACCAGTGATGCTGAACTGGTCATATATATATTTTCTTTTTCATATATTTATTTGCCATTTGTAATTCTTTTGAGAAGTATATATTCATCTCAGATGCTTATTTTTGGACTGGGTCTTTGAATTTGGAAGGTCTGATTTTTTTCAGTTCTTTTTATTTCCTTGACATTATTTAGTTCTTTTTTTTTATTTTAAAGATAAAAGGAGGGAAACATTAACAGACATACAACATTTTACAACATATCACAAGCACAATACAGACAATACAGAGTTACAAACAAAGTGGT